ACGTGCGTTCGCCGCCGCGCCGGTTTGTCGGCCGCGCGCTCAAGCCTGTTGCCTCGCCGCGCGAAGCGGCACGAAGAGACGCGGCACGTATGTATGCATGCACGTATGTACGTATGTATATACGTACGTACGTTTCTCGTCGTTCCGATTTGCTCCAATTCGCGCACCATCATTTGCGCTCCTCGACACATCGGTACATCGGCGCGCGTTACGTTGCCACGCGACGTGCGCAGAGGTGGCCGAAGGCTGCGCGACTAATCGAGGCGCGGGTAATCGATGTAGGTAATTGCACACTAACGAAAAGCTCGTCCCGTCCTCGAAGCTTGTAAAACCTTTTCCCATAGCAACAACCGGAACAAGGACCGAATATCCTTGCGGCACGGAGCGCCGGCAAAGCGCGCAACAGTGCGTTCTGCTACTCCCCCTAATCATCGTCCATTTCCTGCGAGAACTGTTACGCCCGCTCATTAAACTTGCCATCGCTGCTTGAAAACGTACCAGGAAAGACATAAATTAAATTACACGAGGATTAAAGCGCCGTGTGGAAGAACCCGATGCACGTGGAAAGGCGTACGCGCCCGTTGAGAAGCCGGCTAGATGTTTTCCTGAATCAGTGCGCGCTGCTCGTTGCCACGATTTTATTTCGTCGCGTTGATGACCATTCACCCGCGACGATTGAAATAAAATAACTCTGTGCCAGGAGTGTGATGTATATCGCACTCCTGGCACAGAAGGCTGCCACGGTATCAAGAGCGAATGGATATCGCTCTTTAAAAGAAAATTATTACAAGATCCTTATAAATTTGTAGTAATAAGAAATACAATTTTCTAAGCTATGGAAAATTAATTCATAATTTAACTCAAATATATTTTGTAAAAACCATCCGTTGCAATTATCAATTTCGCAAAATTTTAATTTACACAGTTGAGGAAGTGGAAATTTTAAAAAAATTTTGATTTACTCATTTCTTATGCTTCTTCGAATATCAATATTTAAAATGAACAAAATTTTTATCAGATTTTTTTTTAATTTTTATTAAATTAACGTTCTTGATTAATGCAAGACAAATTACTAATTACTAATTGGAAACTGCCAACGCAATTGCCCTACAAAACCGGCTTTCTTTCCGGTCTTCCTCCAACGCTACAGAGAGTCTTCCTTAGACACGCATTTTTAACGCGAGATATACGGTCGAATGGAACGCGAATAGGTCGCATGGTCGCTTGTTACGAACATGAGAATCTCGAGATCCATTTGCTGTCGGATGAGAACGATTAAGCAGAAATGAGAGAAGACGAGTAAGACGAACTATGATGACCGCTATGATGATCGTTACGGAATATTTCTTTGGGAGGTGACGTGCGTTGGGAACGCGGCCTATGCGCGCTGGAATGTTTTTCTCATGGAAGCACGCAGATGCGAAATAATCCTAAACAATGAACACGTTCTTGCCTTTTACCCCGGGACTTACCTCGCGCTGTTTTATCGCACTCGACCTCGTTCGCCGTGCATATTACGTGCCATTACGTCGCGATTTATCGAGTTGCTCCCGTCGTATCGGTTGATTGTTATTTAATATTATTATTTATTGAACATTAGTCCGCACTTACCGATCATTGCGCTTGTCGTATCTGTAATGCGATCGCGTCACGATCTAATCACTGTGATTTCTTCGTTATCCATATATCCAATCTGCGCTAACGGAAAACACGACGATCGCGAGCGAGTCTCCTGTAACGCGTTATCAGACGCGCGATGTGCAAGAAGTTTTCAATTAAGATCGCCCATTTCACGATGTATCGTGACGTTTGCGTGTATAAAAAACGCGTAAGGATCATAAAGAGTTACGTTCGGCTTATAGGGTATACGGTGTCTCTTTCAAATAGTCGTGTACACATCTCACGCGTCACATGGCACGTGCCTGGGAACTGGGAAGTCAATGGAGGAGAGATCCTTGGGACATTACGAAATCCCGTCACGAGCGTGAATGCTAATGGACCCACACACTTGACTGATTTCGCCTTTAAATCCGATCTTGGTAAATATACGACTCGGGATCCTGTATAAAAATCGAGTGATTAAGTGGAGTTGGAGTTGCGGTCCGCGTCTCACATTTCTAAATATTTTAACTAAACAACGCGAAGACGCGGCTGTGCAAATCGTCCGTTGTTTATTCACATTTATTCGTTTATCATTAACGGCGTATTGATGACAGATCGAGAAATGTATTTACGAGCGGAATAATTTTATGATCAGGTGGATCTGGGCACAAAAATTTCTCGCGAATTAGAAATCCGATCATTATGCGATAAATATTAATTCACGAATCGCACGTGTCTTTCGGAGGCGCTTTAAATATCCGTTTGATTAACGGCGGCGGAATAATTTTATTATCGCGCGGATCTATCTGGACGTAAAAATTCCTCGCGAACTAGAAATCCGATTATTATGCGATAAATATTAATTCACGCACGTGTCTTTCGGAGGCACCTTAAATATTTGTTTCATCAACAAGTGTCGTATTGATAACGGATCGAGAAACATATTTACAAGCGGAATAATTCTACCATCGCGCGGATTTATCCAGGTCCAAAAAATTCTTCGCGAATCTTAGAAATCTGATCTATTATATGATAAATATTAATTCGTCGTCGACACGTGTTCTTCGAAAAGGCCTTAAATACGCGAGTTCAGGCGAACGTCAATGGCGGAACGTAAATCCTCTATCGACGGCGCAGCTCTCCCGTACGACTCCGGAGCCGTCATGGCGAGGAAGATCGATAAACGCGATTTGAAATCCGCGATCACTGGGTCATCCGGCGCTTCTTCTTGCTCGTCCTTGGTACATGTTCTGCCTCAAGTGGCAGCGACCGCAGCTACCGGTGTAGTGAGAGAAGTCGCGGCCAGAGCCAGCGACAGTTCTATATTCTGCTTCTTGACCTTGTCCCAGAGCGGCCTCCGGCGCGAGCATTGTCTCGAGCATGTGGAGTAGACCCGATTTTGTAACAACAAAATGTTTGTAAAATAAAGAGCCGGATGTTTAGTCTACATGCACGCTTAGGTCTCTTATTTAAACGACTGCTTGGAAAGAAATTAAAAATTTCACGCTTTAAATTAAGCGTCCGCCTCGTATTTGAGTTTTCGATTGATAATTTGATAAAATAATTTGATTCGGGAATTTTTGGCCATTTGTTTTGATCGGAAAGAAGTTGAACAAAATTTTTTGTGTTTTTATAAATCACCTATATGTATGCAGAAGTTTAGGATACGAACGTAAGTTCTTTCGTAGGGAAAGGAATATCCATTTGTCAGAATATATCCAACTTGCGCATTTATTTTCTCTGGATATTGAGAAAGTTACTCGAGACGCGCATCCGTCTCTATGGGATCTTATATATCTGCAAAAGTTACGCAAGTTGCGATACGTGTCTGATACAGTCATATTCAAAATATAATTTCTACATTTATCAGTTCCGAGGAAGATTTGAGTTTTATACAAGCGGAAGCAATCGTCTGAAAAATATCTAAAAAAAAAAAAAAAACTGCTCAAACGACAAAATTATATGACAAAATCACGATAGATATTTGAATAATTATGCGAAAGGGAATAGATGTAATTTGACTTTTCGAACGCCTTTTGTACGTATGTTGGAATGCGAGGAATATCCGGAACACGTAGCATCGATGGAGGATAATTTCAATGATGACGACGAGACAATTCCAAGATGATGGTATCCTCGATCGAGCACTCGAAAGCGAGCGATGCTGCATCGATGACCTGGAATGTTGGGCCAGAATTCGGTGACAAGTCGGTCCAGGATATCTTTTTTGTTCCCCGGGCGATACATCTCAGCGTTCGATGCACCTGTCGCGTGGTCGAGATACCATCATCGGATCGCTGCCAGCAAAATACGATAGGCTAGAAATGAGAAATTCTTTGTGCGATTCTCGGATCGCCTTAGTCGTTTACAGGATATACGTGCCGGTAGTTATATTGTATATTTTCCAAATTTAAACAATTGTGAAGCGATAAATTTTTAACTAAACAAAACAACGAGAAAGTTTATGTAATTATAAAAACGGAGTTAAAAGTAGGAAAATAATTTTTCATTATCAAAATTGAACAATGTAAGATGAGAATGGAATAAATCTAAAAACTCAGATCTATAACTTAAATTTATCTCTTTACAATAAATCTATATTAAAATCGTATCTAAGATGAAATAAAAATTGACTGAATATAAATCTTCATTCTTTTCTTGAATATTTTAATTATAGTATATTAGATAAGACACAAATCACAGATGGAAAGTAAAACTTTAAAAATCTTTGATCAGATATATTATGCGAATATGCAAATTTTACTTCGTCTCATCATTATTATCTTTCTCATTATCTCTACAGAATGATGTCATTGAAAGCAAGTCTGTGCTGCGGATAGAACGCGTATTTAATATTCCAAGAATTTCTCTTATAAGTAATAAAGTTATACAAACTAAAGCGACTTGGAGAAGATACGTAAGAAATTACGACAGTTAATTATACATCCGATTTACTTATCCGTAGTTTCACTGACTGAGAAAAAGCGCGCGCCGATTCGCGCGCACGTTGCTGGATCGGACGCGTCTCTCTGAAGGGGTTAATACGAAAAGCGTGCAACGGGAAAGTGAACTAGAAAGGAGCACGCGGCAGACAATAGACAATGGGCGCGATGAAAGAGTGAGCCCCATAGGTGCTCGCATGCCCCGCTGACAAGCTCTTTAATATATAGAATTACAAAATTTATACCGCCTGTCTGCCACAATCGACGTAGTAGAGCGCGGCCGCTAACAGCACCGTGCGCGCGGCTCGCGTGACTCCCCGAGATTTACACGTCCTCGCATCCGGGGGAGAGAGAAGCGGCCCGCTCTCTAAATTGACACGTGACGACAACTAGTCGCGCTTCGGGGACCGAGATAGGTCGGCCACCGAATTAACGAGTGACGTTTCTTATTTTCAGGGATCAGGATGCGGTGGATCGGTTACGTGGCCACGATTCTCTGGTGGTCGGGCATCGCCAGGTCTCTCAGCACGCTGAATCGAGGTCACAGTCAGTAATAATTCCCCCTTTGGTGATTTAAACGCGCCGCGTCTCGGTATCCGCCGCGGCGGACACTCTTTGTAGTACGATCCTTTTCGGCCGCGGACACCCACCGGTCTCCCTCTCCCCCTCTCCCCCACCCCCTTCCCCCCGTCGACGCGCGGCGTCTCTTCCGTATGCACTTTCGAGAGTGACCGAATGCAGCAGCTGCCGCCTCTCCTCCTCTTTTCCTCTCTTTCCTCCCCCCCCCCCTTCTCGAGGTCTCTCTCCCGCATCTGGTACTCCCTTCGCGCGCGGCATCCTTCTCCCGCACGAGGAGTTCTTAAATGTGTAACGCTTAATTGGAAGGAGAACTCGGTCAAGGTGCAGTCGGTCGTACATGAGCGTGAGAAAAGAAAAGCGAAAGAAGGCGCTACTTTCTTTTTGTTTCGACGAATCTCCCGAAGGGAGATTCTTCCTTGCCTATTATTTTTTTTTTTTCTTCACGCTCTCGGGTAATTGCGGCCCGCGCAGTCAGCTGTGAGCCTCGTCGGCGAAAACGCGAGACCGAGTCCGTGAGGGAGGCAGGCACATTGCACGGCAATCCCGCGAAGAATAATCATTAACAAATTGGAAATACATGTTAACGTATATTATTCTTTTCCTCAACATGTGATGTTAACATTAATTTTCATAACGGCGCTCGCGTCTGATTATCGGGAGCAAGAACAATCGGGCTGACACTTGAATTAAAGCTCGCGGCACGAAGACGATTCATAAAATAAAATTTCCCTTCTTGATCCGACTTGTTTCCTGTTTATAACGTAACGCAGTCGCGATGCGAGGCTGCGACACGATCGTGTTTCTAACGGAGAAAGCGACTGCGTGAAGCTCCTACATCGCCGCGGTCGTAATTTACGTTACCCGAGTCTTACCGTGACTCGGTTAATGACTCGGGCCCAGGTCTACGTACTCCTTCCAGTAATTAAGTTTCATTTTTTTTTTTTTACTACGATCTCTCACACGTGTGCTTCGACAAGTGGTACACTTTCACCGAACTTGACGGCGAGGTAGGCCTCGTGTGTAACATGTAAGACAGTTTAATTGTCCATGCACCGATATGACCTATCTGTGTTGTACCTTGTTGTGACACGGTGTCACGCGACGTCACTCTCTGGCATTGCCCGTCAGCCTTGATGCGTGTAATTTCGTTGCCGCGTCTCGCTCGATTTTTCAGGGGTGTAGGGGAGTAGGGGGTGCTGCGCATAGAAACATCGAATCCCGCGCGAAATTACAAGCTATTAAATTTGTTGGGACGGCATTGATCGACGCTTTCATCGCGCACTTAACATTACACGCGCTGTCCGACTTCGCACTCTGACGCGAGAAATGTATGTAATGAAGACGTGAGATTAAAGTCAGTTACGTTTAACGGAGGGCGCACGTAAAGAAAGTAAATGAGATGTTCCCCGTTTGTCGGTACGGAATTCCTTTAATAGCCGGGACGAAGCTCCAACGAGAGGTCCAGAATTCCGTCGTCGCTCGAGAGAAAACACCTGGATTAGCCGAGCTCTTTTCCATTTCACGCAGGTTACAAAATTACTCCGAAACCCTGTAAAGTGCCCGGTTCGGAGGGTAAGGAAGGCACGTGCATGTTCGTGTGGGAGTGCATCAAGTCCGAGGGGACGCACGTGGGTGTGTGCGTGGACACCTTCATGTTTGGCAGTTGTTGCATTCACAACACGACGGTGAACACGATAGGTGTGTCTCATCGTCCTCCTCCTCCTCCTCATCACCATCATCATCATCATCATCAGCAGCAACAGCAGCAGCAGCATCACGAACACACGACGAGTGTGTTAAGACCGGATCTGCTTCTGGCGGAGCCAACGGGGAACGAGACCATCAGACTGACGTCGACTTCCCTGTCGGGCGTCTCCTCGACAGCGTCGAGCACCGCGAGGCCGAGTCTCCATCAGTCCTCGGGCTCTCACGGTTATCCCGGCGGAGGCTCGACCAGGCCGATGAAACCGTACTCGCACGGGGTCGGGAGGCCTTTGCAGAAGAGGCCGCACGCCAAACCAACGTCCGAGCACGACGTCGACGGGCTGCAGACCCCCGCGGTGTCCTCCGCGTCTACGAACCCATGGGCGGAAGGCAGGCCGCAAGAAACGAAGAGACCGGGTCATCACGCGGGTCAATCCCATCACCACAAGACCAGGCCGGACGAGGGAACGCCGAGTGAGAAACCGTCGTCCGTTCAGAGCCAACCGGGCTTCAAGGACAAGGTGGAGACACACAACACGTTAATAGTACGCTTGCCAGGGAAGGAGCACGCCGACGATGAGGTCGTTGGTTCGAGCAAGCCGAACAAACAGGGCAAACCGGGTAAACCGGGCAATCAAAGGCCCTTTGAATCGAGACCGGGGGACGACGGGAAGACCGAAGACGCCGATCTCAGCGTGCAGGAGACGATAAATCGGCCGAACGTCAATTCCGTCATTGAAAGCGTAAGGAAGAAAATCTTTATTTATTATTATAACTCGCAGATGATCCGTCGATCCGTTCTCTCTCCCTCTCCTTGTGATTATGACTCGTGATTCAGCGAGATGGATTTCTTAATACTTGTGTAATACTTTTCTCACATCGCCGAGAATTCACTCTTGGATAGGTCAAATGCTTAATTTTAAATTGATTTAAACGTAAAACGATTCTCAGATAATTATAATGAAATCACATAGAGATAGAAATAACTTAAATCCAATTTTCGTGCTAATTATCGTTTTCCATCTATTTCTTTATCGTTCGTTATTTAATAAATTAGAAACTCTGAGAGAGAAATATATGAAAATTTAATTAAGGTATTTTTTTTAATATAAAATATCCATTTAAAGAAGTATTTATATTACATACAGCTAAGAGCCATTATTTTTCGCAAAATAAGCAATGTGTTTAACGAAGTATCGATTTTCCGTCAGGAAACGAGCAAAGAACCGCATCCGGGTTTGAATTTCGTGCATACCGAGCGGCCGCACTGGGCAACCAAACCAGCACAATCGAAACCATCGTCGACGGATTTCTCCAAGCCGTATTTTTCAATCAAAACGACCACTTATCGACCGATAAGCAGTCAGGCTGATCATAGACCGAATTTTATCTCGAGACCCAACTGGGTGCTGTCCACAAAAACATCGACGACAACGACTGCCAAGTCGACTCTTGCCAGGCAACCTTCCACCAGGTATGCAAGTCGTTTTTATGTCGTATTAATTTATATAATAATTTTATTAATACCACAGATATTATGTAAATATATGACTTTCCTCTCGGTAGTTTTTTTTTTTTTTTAAATCGTGTGAAATACACGTCCTGCATTATGTATAGAACCCAACTTAAAATTTATCTTTCATTCTAGCACAGCCGGATCCGTGCCACAAACCTCTCACTGGCAAGTGACCACGGAACCGGCGTTCGTCACAAAACAAAAACCGTCATCGCTGTCCTCGTCGTCGTCGTCGTCGTCGTCGTTGTCATTTTCATCCTTTTCAACATCGTTCTCCTCGCCCTCGTCATCCTCATCGCCGTCGTTATCCAAACCGATAACCGCGATTACCGTGTCGGAGACCGTTCGAATACCGTCTTCAGGTACGAGTTCCCATTTCTGGTCGAACAGCTGGACGCCTGGACCTAGGCCGTCCTTGAAACCGCATTGGACCGACAGTCCCAGTCTTCTTCAGAACGGCCCGGAAAGTTTTCCACCGCGACCGAGCCTCAAGCCGACCGAGTCTCAACAGGTGCGTCTTTAATTATCGACATTACTCGATCCTCTATGTCATCTTCAATAATTTTGGAGAAAACAATTGCGTCTTATTCAAGCATCGTCGACTCACATTCCGATGTTGATGTTTCCTAGAGCACCGAATACCAGAAGCCCCTGGGCTCGGCGCACTACATAACGACGTCCCACTTGGAGACTTCGACCAGGCCGCGGCCAACGAAGAAAACCACAACGCTGGCGAGCACGACGTTATCCACGTTGACGTTTTCGAGCGTCACGATCGGTACGATCAGTCCGACAGTCGCTACGGCAACGATGACGACCACGAGCAGCACGATCAGCGCGAACAGCGCGAGTGCCACGAGCGTCACCACGACGCAAGGGTCGTCGACCACCGAGGTGGCGACGAGCGAGAAGGCGACGGGCTCGGTGATGACGGTCGCGGCCGCTGACGAGAGCAAGAACATGCAATGCGGCGTGCCGCCGTTATTTCCACGGCCGGAAACGAGGATCGTCGGCGGCAAGGACGCGTCCTTCGGCCGGTGGCCCTGGCAGGTATCCGTACGCAGGACATCCTTCTTCGGCTTCTCGAGCACTCACCGCTGCGGTGGCGCGGTGCTCAACGAGAATTGGATCGCCACCGCGGGCCATTGCGTTGACGAGTAAGCCAGTCGCGTTGCGTTTCTTCCGTCCTTCGCTCGTGATGCTCATCCGGTTAAAAATCTCATTCGTTTCAGCTTGCTGACGTCACAAATCCGGATACGAGTCGGCGAGTACGACTTCTCGTCCGTGCAGGAGCGGCTGCCCTACGTGGAGCGCGGCGTCGCCAAAAAGGTCGTGCATCCCAAGTACAACTTCTTCACGTACGAGTACGACCTCGCGCTGGTGCGGCTCGAGAGTTCCCTGACGTTCGCCGCGCACATCTCGCCCATCTGCCTGCCGGCCACGGACGATCTTCTGATCGGGGAGAACGCGACGGTCACCGGCTGGGGAAGGTTGAGCGAGGGTGGAACGTTGCCCTCGGTGTTGCAGGAAGTAATTATCGCTCGAAAGATTACATTTCTTACACGTACTCGAACGTGTCCTTCCTTCTCCGACTTTCATCGTTTTCTCTCTCAAGGTCTCCGTGCCGATAGTCAGCAATGATAGGTGCAAATCGATGTTCTTGAGGGCCGGCAGACACGAGTTCATACCGGACATTTTCCTTTGCGCCGGTTACGAGACCGGCGGGCAGGATTCGTGTCAGGTGCGTGCGTGCGTGTCCGTAATCGAACTAGTTGTCGCTCACATGCGAAGTTTGTGTTACGAGAGATTTTTGCATTACGCAGGGCGACTCCGGAGGGCCCCTCCAGGTCCGCGGGAAGGACGGCAGATACTTCCTCGCTGGTATCATATCCTGGGGCATCGGCTGCGCGGAGGCCAACCTACCGGGCGTGTGCACGCGAATCTCCAAGTTCGTACCGTGGATTTTGAAGAACGTCACCTGATTTGCTCGCGACGAGAAACTTGCGCCAAGCGACGCGAAGAAGAACGACACGAAGAGACTCTCGAAATCGGACGAAACTCATCGTGCAAATGAACGATTCGCAGTATTGTCTCGTCACGATATATCAAAAAACATTATCCTAGGCTCTTTTCACGCGGATGAGAATACGCCTTTTATATCATTTTGCATTTATTTATTTGCATTTACACTGCCACTTACGGAGTGAACATTCTGGTTGCTATGTAATAAGAAGAAATATTCCGCACTGGAAAAGGTGGAATTAGATCATCGCCGAGAATATATATATATATATATATCATAATGATGTATGTGTAAAGTCTCATGCATTGTAGCAGCACACTGAACTGTATTTATACATAAAAGTAAGTAAGGAAATAATATATTTGCTAAATTAAGGTTACAGCTAAATAAACGAGAGAAGTCTGAGTTGTGTAATGAAAAGATCATCAGGAATAGTTCGATAATTTTCAAGGATACTTTATATTTTCACTCTTGCCATTTCGTTTTGAAGTAAATAAATACAGAATACACAAACATATGCCGAAAAAGAATTAAAACGGAATGATAAATTTGTAAATTTGTAAATTACGTAAACATTGTCTATCTTAAAAAATTAATTTTCAAACCAACATCTAATTATAATTTAGAACGATTCAATTCAAGTTGGAAAAAGCCAGTAAGAAATGAATTATTGTGATTTCGATTCTCGCAACTTTCATTAATAAATGCATGATAAATATTTATTTTTATCTATTAGCGAAATGTATAAAAAAGTTTATCCTTTACTGTACGGCGTGAGATAACTCGGAATGTTCTTCCAAATGCTCAATCCCGCACATTTCAGGTTACACTCACTGCCTTTTTTTTATCCTTTATATTTCTTTATTTACAAATAGGAATTTGTACAGAGCACAATATTAATTGCGTGTACTTGATAATAATTGCGTGCGAGCTAATAGGAGAAGTCCACATTATGGAATTATTTATAAGTATTGTCAAATAAACGAGTGTTTATTTAAACTTTATCAATCTCGATCATCTTCCTACAATATTCTTGAATTAAGTGGATCGTCCACTCGACCGGCGATTAGACTCACTGAGGTCTCGGTATCGATGATGAAATAAAGAAAAGGATGCACAGCTGTAAAAGGTTCAGGTCCAGCTCTCTCAAACAGACCATTGCCTAAAAAACAATTATAATTATCTTATAAACGTTTGTAAAGAACTAATTTAATCACAGATAATATTAAAAACATTTTTTTAAGAATATATACATGCAACATTGTTAGAAAACAGAAAAAAAAAATCACGTTTTTTTTAATACGTTTAGTGAAACCAAAAAATTTTTGGCAAAATTTATAAAAAAATATTTACAGAAAATTATAGCAAAATATATAGCTTGAAAATAATTTAAAAATAAAAGTTTTAATGTTTTTGCAGAAAAAAGATGCAGTAGTTTAGCGTTTGAATACAAAATCAGTAATTCATACTACACTACGTAGTGCAGAGGAAGTAGGAAAATGTTTTTAAATTAATTATGACAGGAAAGTCTTGTATAAGAGATACAGATAATTAATGTATCCAGCAAGTTTCCAATCAATCTTCGTTTGAGAATGAGAATAAAAGCACATTTTAATTTCATAGATCTCGAGGCGACTGTAATAAATGTAATATATCAGTTGATCTTTCGATGATTTTGATTTCCTAGATGTTTGGTTCATTGACTTCCAATGCGCGCGTCCTTGCTTTCACTGAGTTGACAAAACTTGTCGTTCTTGTATCTTTACGACGGTAAATTGATTTTTACGCGAAAGAAAAAGACACATAAGAGCAACGAAGACATAACTAACAGTAAAAATAATTTTTCAATTTTTTTAATGGCTAGTCTTATTAGTCTAATAAAAGTTTTTATTTAACGATGTTTTCAACTCAAGAATCCACTACTTTGAGAGAAATATAAAAGATATACATAATCGCTATTTCGTAAGACCTAATCAAAATATTGTCGGTCATCCTTTTTTTTCTTATGTCCATCAGATCGAATAAGTCTGTGTCTCAATATTCTTTTATAGCACATATTCATGTTGATTTAGGAAAAGAATATACGGGAGAAAAATAGCGCGAAAAGAACAATTTCATAGAAACACTTGCAATCGCCACAGCGATTCCTCGGTGAATGTAAAAAGAGATGGCGCAAGGTCTTTTTATTGACTTCCTTTTGCGGACTCGAGCAGGATATCAGCAATTAAATTCAGTGAACTGAACAACAATACTGAGAATATTTCCAATGGTAATCGATAGTTTTGCTTGAAGCTTCGCCTAATGGCGTGAAAATAGATTTTTTTACTTAGCTAATGATTCATCCTCGAAACTCGCATCTCGGGAGATTGCATCGCAATTTTTGATGCTTTTCCCGTAGATTTCGTGAAACTTAAAAATAGGATGCGTTTTTAGAAAAGCGTTTAGCCGAAGCGTCTATTGAATCAGCCACTTGGTAACTTGTAATTTCACGATGCAGCGAAAAGATGATGATTGATAACTATCGGGGATAATTATCGGGAGGACACATAATTAGCGGTCATGGATATTTGTCCCCGATAGTTTCTCAATCTCGAACGAGGCTCGAAAGCGCATTCCCGCGCGATTCTGGAGACGCGCGGCGGCTGCGAAGCGCGGAAGCGGCCCCCGTCATCGTTAACGACAGTCGGCGTTAAGTAATGAAGATTCAGCGGAACGTGAGAAAGAGGGGCGACGAAGGGGCCAGGCGGAAGCGAAAAGGGGAGAAGGAGAGAAGAAAAGAAAGTGAAGAAACGAGCCGGATAACTAGAGGCGGTGGTAACGGCCGGCCGTCGTCGCGGACGCGTGTTCATCACCGCGTAAGAGGGGCGCATTGTCGCCGCCGTCGTTTGCAAATTATGCGCGCAAATTACGTTTCTGGAGAACGCTCGAGAACGCGCGAGAACTTTGCAATTTCACTCGGACTTAATACCGGACATTGCGTCAGCGTAATTATTTCTTCGAACATTATCTCCGACGCAACCTGGGAGTCGCGGCGTCGCGCCACTCCGCCGTCCGCCGTTCGTTTTTCCCTCCCCGCCGACAAATTAAATCACCTTAACGCGTATTTAACGCGGTTAGCATCGTAACATCCGGTTGACCGAGACGCGTCAGGATGTTCGCTAATTTTGGATGCCACCCAAGGTGATTTAATTCCACCTTGCTCGCCCATGCCAAATTGTCCCGCGCGGTGTACACGCGAGAAATAATAATCCATAATGGCAGAACGTGGCGAAAAGTAATAAGTAACATTGTAAAATATGTATGTATAGTAATTCAAATATGTATATATATATATATATATATATATATATATATATATATATATA